ATATTTATAAATATTTCTCGGAAAGGGTATCTCAGGTCGATACTTCGTGTTACTTCATAGCTCTCGAAAGATTGTTAAGGCTCAATCGTTTTGGTCACTTTCATGTGTTATTGACCGAAATTTTCGTATATTATAGTTAGGTTAACAAGGAACTGGGCAGAAAGACGTACATTCATATGTTGGGCATGCGTAATATGTGGTCCAACCATATCAGTCGATGAAGATTTACAACCTCATCGACTGGTTTGCCATCATTTCCTAATACCCTGCATCTAACCTCACTATGACTTACCCGTTGATCCCAGCAGATGCGAGCAATATTTCTAGGACATCAGTGATCAAATACTAGGAACTTACGAGTATTTTCTACTCCGAATGACCACGCTTCACAGACATAAAGTAGAACAGAACGAACTACTGCTCAGTATACTCGTCCCTTGATTGATAGACGGATATCTCGACTTCACCATAGGTGACGTAATTTTGCAAAAGTTAAAGGAGGATTTTGAGTCCGTGCAGATATTTCATCAGATACCAACCCACCAGGGCTGATCAGACTTCCAAGATAAATAAGGTTGTCAACACGTTCTACTACTGCACTCCCTGTCCTTAGTTCAGGTGTTGACGCAGGCCAGTCGTGAAGCAACACCTTACATTTAGAGAGTAAGAAACGCATCCCAAAGATTCTGGTATTGTTGCTCAGTGCTATCAAGAGGCTGCATTTTATCAGTGTCTTCACTAAAGAGGACTATATCATCTGTGTATTCTAAATCAATAAGTAAACCTCCTGGTAGGAGATCAATGCCTGAAAATCCAGACGACGTGGACGTTATTTCCAGCAGTAGGTTTTTAATGAAGTTAAACAGAAATGGAGATGGTGGATAGCCTTGACGGACATCACTTGAGGTTGCAAAGCAGATGACAGTTCGCTATAAGCTCTGACTCGACTAGTATTGTTCGAGTTAAGTGCATTCACAATGTTTATGTACATCTGAGGTACACCTTTCAATGAAAGGCACTGCCACAGAACCTCTCAGTTTACAGAGTCAAATGCTGCTTTTCTGTTAAGAAAAACTATCATTGTCGGACGCCGATAAGCATACCTATGTTGTAGAACCTGACGGGTGCTAAATATGTGGATGATCAAGTCTAAATCCATCCTGATTTTCTCGTGTTTGTAGTTCACGAGTCTTAGGCTGGTATTTTGGATGCTATATTGGCCAAACTAATTCCTCTATGGTTATTAGAGGATGATTCAGACCCTAATCAAGTAGTCTGCGTCTTCCAACATGGCTCAGACTAGAAGTTAGTGACTTCGAGCACTGGTGCCACGTTTTGGTTTGGTCGCCCCTAACTTTCTTCCATCCATCTCCAACATCGGTTAGCATTGCACGTCGTAGTAGTCGGTGTTCAGGCATACGTAACACGTGGCCCAACCATCGCAATCGATGAAGATTCACAACCTCAACTGTACCAGTGGTAATGCATTTAATGAGCGAAGTTCTAGCAACTGGCCTTGGCTTTGTCCTTATCTCTTGAATGAGGTGTGACTTCCTCTATAGTCGGACATTCTCTTATGTTGTTTGACGGCAACTCGTGCAAGATGGGACTTGAACTGTATTCGATATCTGGGCATTATACACTTATTTTCATGCGGTCTTTAGTATGATTTTAATCCTACACTTAAAAAAATAACAGGGAAACTCCATTATTCCCTTTTTGTTGCATAGAATGGAAATGCATTTAAAGTTCATTAAGTAACATGACGAAAATGTGTTGAAAGTTAAACTTACATTCACGTTAATTCGATATTGGATTCCTTCATAAGTTATATTCCCGAGAAGCTGACATACTTTATACAGTATTTTATTAACTGAGTGCACATTGATGTATTTAGCCTTATAACATATTTTTAGAATGGCTGTTTATGTTACCTAGCTTTTCAAAGTGACATAGATGGTGAAGGGTTCAAATCTTCCACTCTGGTGGTCGAAAGTCCAGTTCATTAGTGTAGTATGGTTACTGCTAACCAAACCACTGCAACTTTCTGATTCTTTTCAATATATTACACAAACATTCAAGGGCTTCTTGCTCAGGACTTCGATAAAGTAGGAATAACTCCATCGTTCTATTTCAGCTGAGGTCGTAGTAGTCCACACGATCCAGCCTAACAGCTCATGTAACCGGGCGTTTTCACATTATTTATTTCAGTTCGTTAGTTATTCAAAGCGATAAATTCATTGTCCATGCACAACTGTCGCTAATCTCCTTCCTCTCTCGTTTCGGCAACCTCAGTTTTTTCTAAGCTGACTCTGCCACCGAAGTTACCTCACTTTTTCATAGATTACTGGCGTCATTATAACAGGTTTTCAGTTCTGTTTAACATCTCTGGAACGGTTAAAGTTATCTGAAAATAATACGATTTCGAACAGTGTTTACATAAAGACCCTTGGGAGTAGGATTTTCTCATTGAACTATCGCATTTTGCTTTAAATTCCAGTCACTTGTTAATACGCAACGTAGAACCTGACATATGTACATCGGTTCAAGTTGCTAGCTATTCAGGTTGTTTTTATTATCATCCAGCCAATAACTGTTAATCAGTGTAATAAGTCAGTAGGTTCAGTTTCGTTAGTTGTTACTCGGTCACATCATATTCCACATTACTAATAGATCACCTTTCTTTCATTTTATCATCAAAAATTTAGTAATTTTTAGCTTGTTCAAGCTCTTATTGATCTTCTGATTAGATTCAACGTTAAACAATACTTTTGAGATATGTATTTGAACTTGATGTCTTTCTGTTATCAATGGTTATTCCCTTTACAAATGTTTATTTAGATTTAGAACACTTACCACCACATTTACGACAAGAATTTGAAATTATGCGTGATCTTGATCAAAAAGTCCAGGATATCATTCGTCAAACACAACAACGCACAACCTACCTATTTGAACATGCATATGAAATGTCTAAAGAGGAACGCAAAGCACAAATTGAACAAATACAAAGCTTATTTAAAAAAGGCAAAGAAATTAGTAACGATAAGGTGTCCAGAGCTGAAAGTGCTTATGAACTAGTTGACAAACAAATACGTCGACTAGATGCAGATATGTTTGAATTCAAAAAGGCATTAGGTACGTGTGAATTTTTGACCGTATTATGATGTTAGCTGAAAAAGAGTCTAAGAAAGTGAAAAAATCTCGAACAAAACAAGAACAAGAGCCGGTTATTTCTCCTAAGTGAGTCTTTACTCAGTACTTGATCCCGTTTGTTGCGTCATTTATGTTTATTTAAAGCCAATATTTTAATGTTTGTCTATTGAGACCTATGGAATTCACTCAGTATGTTGTTGTATCTTAAACTGGAATAAACCATTCAAACCCCTGAAGACTGTAAATGAATGCAGACTAATATGCTAAGCTGTCAACTGGACTTATTTCGGAGTTGATGATGCTACTATCGTAGCTGAATAAAACAAGTGAAGTGAAACTCTACTCATTAGGGAATCAACGTTTTGGGTTACTTACTACCGAATGGGCATTCTTAGATTTATATCAAGTGATCATTTTGTAAGTTTTTGCTAAGATTTCATTTTGGGCTTGACGAGTTTCTTTGGCGATATTTCTAAACGTCCTAGAAAATACCCCTTTAGAAAGATAAATCTGTTCAAATTACTGTATTTTTAATTCATGACATATCGTAGATCGCATGTTTAAGCTTATATACTCCATTAAATTTTGGATAATTGACTAATATTGTGTTTTCACATCCTAACGATTGGACCTAAAATGGGTACTAGATTAACCGTATTTATTTTCGTCATTAATATTCTTTATGCACACAAGTGTTGAATCGAATACTGTTTGGATCATCTGACCCCCTCAAACGAAAGATTTTGTTAGGGGGCCACTCCATGAGACTTTGACCTAAGGGTTCGACCCACGAAGTAGCGGGGCAATGTTAAATACAGTGCCATGGTAGCTGGTGACTAAAATGATTTCGTGTCCTATTTCAAAATTCCAAAACCTGTATACACCATTGGTTTATAATCAGGGTTTCTGTTATATCTTATATATCGGGACTTAACGGTTTCCTACTCCCTTAAGTGGACCCTGAATATCCACTTGCCCATTTTGTGCTCGGAACATCCACTTTTCATCCTTTTGCTTTCGTTAAAACCGCTACGCTCAGGACTAAGGATTTCATAAAGTCATTTCAGGAACGAGAGCATTCTCCATACCCTTGATCATCTCAGGACATTCAGAAGAACTATCACTATCAATAATAATAGTCCTTGAGTTATCTAATTTTTCGCCAAATTGTTTGTAAGTTCCGTAACCTGGCAGTGAGTGCATACACTTGGCCATGTGAGAGTATTTCGAGGGGGAGAGCTGACTCTCTCCTCCTTCGACCGTATCAGGGCATTTGGGGGCACTAATGAAAATGTGTTCGAGTTTTTGTAACTTTCTCTGAGTTATCATGTTTCATTTCTTCATATTTGTTTTTAATCTAGAATCCCAGCTACTGCTGCATTGGCATTGGCATTGACGAATAATCCTAGAGAAGTATTAGACATGCCAGTTGATCCAAATGAACCTACCTATTGTATATGTCAACAAGTATCCTATGGTGAAATGGTTGCGTGTGATAATCGTGATTGTGCAATTGAATGGTTCCATTTCGAGTGTGTTGGTTTAGTGAATAAACCACGTGGACAATGGTATTGTCCTCAGTGTATAGCTCAAGGATTTCCTTTGAAAAAAGATGACTAGTAAAGCCATTACAGACAACTTTAATTGTCTGACTTCTTGTTCTTGTGTTTTACGATGTTGTATCTCATCAACAATATCTTCCTCTTTTATTTCTTTTCGCATTATGTAATTTGCACTTTGTAAATAGATGAATATTCCAGCGTGTCATTTTTCTCCTGTATATAGATATACTTGTTAATACTTCATCATTTGCATACTTCCGTGTGAATATTTAGTTGTTCAGCATGTCAACACCCACTAGAAAGACTAAAAAGCGACACTCCAGCGTAAATGCTCCTTTCAAATCTCCATTAAAAAGGATCAATGAAAGTAACAATTTCACTGATCCTACTATTAACAATCAAAACAATGAAATTAATGAACAACCAGATGTTATTGTAAGTTATTTCCTGTTGTATTTTTTATTTTGTGCGATCTAACCATTTTTCTACTACTTATTAGTAGTAAACTTTGAATTTGTAATAAGGTATTTCATTCAGACAACCCGCACAACGGTTATGCTGCCTTCCCACAAGGAAAAGTGGGGTTAGAAAAGGCCGGCTTGGGAAATCTATTTTTGTTATATCCCAATGAGTAGTGACTTGATGTAAGCCACTTCAGAGTAAGTGACTTTCACGAAAGGATATGCGCTACATAAATCATTCGATTTGTTTGAGGGCTGGGATACTGCCCGGGTGACCAAACCGAAGCAGGTAGCTTTCTTAAGGGGCCACACCCCGAACCTTTGACCTAAAGGTCTAATCCACAAGGTAGTGGGGCATCGTAAGGAGATGCAGTCCCATAGTAACTGGTGACCAACAATAGGTTTTTACACCATTTGCTGTCTTAGGATTCTGGAACCCATGCACATCACTGGTTTAGAATCGGGTTGTTCCACCCCCCCAGGTGGATCCTCCGTACACACCTACCCGGTCAGAGCGCCAGACGCCCGCTTTTCGTCCTCTCAACTTTTTAAAATACACCCCCGCGACGAGCAGACAGTGAGTAGTCCTTCCCTGGCAGTGGTTGTAAGCACGTGGCCACTTGAGAGCATTCCGAGAGGGATAGCTGAATCTCTCCCCACTCTCGATTTTACCAGGGCATTTGGGGGCTTTCTAATCTGAACGATATTGGTAGATGCAGACTACTTTGTTGAGGTACGCGTGACTATCGTATCCAATGTTTGGAGACTCGGAGTGACATAGCTCAGAATCGATCGCAATGGCGTAGGTGTATACACTCTCTGTCTTCCCTTAAACTATGAGATTAAACTTACTTTATACCTTTCTTTCTACAAACCAATTCTTTCTTCTTGTACTATGTCCTTATACACAATCTTTCTCTTATACATTACTACCATTGATGTGACTGCTTCTATGAATTTGGTGTTCATCTTGTTGTGCTAATGAGACTTGGCAACTTGGACTGATGCATGTTTGTGCCTGGTACTACGTTGTAGTTGACTGCCTTTCACAATTAACATGCATCCAAGGCGTTGAACCGGTAGATATTTTACTATCCTAGTTGCTCACTTATATCTTTTAGTGATTGTACAGACGCCTACCTATAGGTTTCTGTTTTTCAATCTCCCACACTTAATGTGTTGAAATAATCATCCGAATTCCTGTATTTTTGTGTACTCATTTCAATAAGATTGTACTTTTCAGTGTACTATCTTGAACTCATGGTCGGAATGTGATACTACTTGTATCATTCAGTGTAAGTATTATATACGATATATGTGATTCGATTTAATTTCTAGTGTTTCATTAAACCTGGAGTTCAGTAAAATAAGTCTTGCTCAGTATATATTGCAGATATTATGTTTATTTTTTCCAGGGAAGTCAATTAAACATAAATGATACTAATAAACAAACTAGTTCATTCCACACTGAGCTGCAACACCTTGGGAAAGAGAATATTCACATTGCTAAAGTTAGCATTGATGATGTGAACGACAACGAGGACAACGACGACTTGGATGACAACAGTAAAATAGAAAATTGTATTAACAAACTGTTATCAAAGCGACCAAATCAAAGTTATATTGATTTAGATTTGGAGTTAGCTAAATGTCGTAATCGTTTACATGCTTACAATGAGGCCAAAGATTCATGTGTAATACTATTTGGTCTGTTAGCAAACAATCGAGGTTGTCTGGTCCGAGAATTGTATTCTGAATTCGATTTGAATCTGGACGACTAGAGACTATTAGTTTTCGTTGTTTTTATTTTGCTGTCTTTTTTGTTAAGATGAAGCGTATACCAAATCAGAAAGCCGATTTGTATTGTTTCACCTTGCTTGTACATAAATTGTTTCAGAGATTGAGTTTAAAATTTATGACAGCTCTATTAATATGATTATTGTTATTATTAATTCTAATGTTGTACACATGGTCATGACTTTTTATCTTGTATAAAAAAAAGAAACTTTTGAGATTTGAACGTATCAGTTTGCTAAACCATGCTAATATATTTTTAAAAAACTCATTTTCAGTGTTTATAGTTGAAATTTACTGATAATTAGTTATACTGATCATAAATATTCCCAATTTATATTGTGATAATTGGTAAACCATTTATTTTTATCCAGTTGTTCTGGTGAACTTAGGATCATAGTGAATATCCAAAAGATAAATCTGTTATTGTGACTTTTTTCTTATTTGTGTTTGTAAAGTATGCAAATAATCAGTTTAATTGTAGAACGCAATATTCATCAATAGTTAGCTTTTAAAATTCATTTACGACTTCACTCGCGCAACTGGATCGAGTCATTCTAGTCGTTGTATCAATTTAGACAGCACATTGATAGCATCCATAACTGCATACAATCCTGATTCGTTAACTGTTAAAATAAAGATACCTAGAAATGACATCACATTTCGTAGATTAAAGATCATCATCATTTTTATTAGACTAATTCTATCAAAAATTCTCTGAGCAGCTTACTGCTAGTTGTCATCTTAATTCTTACGTCTCATGATGTTCATTATGACTTTTCATTTTCTTCTGATTCCTCTTATCCGGGTATTCTGTCGTCAACTTTGATTGCACTAACTACATAGTCCGGTTAGGTCATTAGTTACTTGGTTATTCAAACGTAACGTAGGACCTAGCAAATGCATATACCAGTACAGGTTGTCGTACCTCTTCGCACAGCAGAATAAAATTGTCAGAGCGAATTCCAGATTAATAAAGGTAGTGACAGTATTAGTCGTGGTAAAAAATCTGGTATAGAAAATATGGATTCCATTCATTACCCATCACCTGTTACCCCTCGTGGAGATACGTAGGCCGCCCACCAGTATTCTCTATTCAACTTTGTTTTGACCAATCCTCTTCAGTTGCTATTAATTCCCTTGATGTCTGCTTCCAATCCCCGGCACAATCTGTTCTTTGGTTTTTCTCTTTTCCGTTTTTCTTCAGGATCCCAAGTTAGCACCTGCCTCATGCTGCAATTTGTCGATTTCTGTAATGTGCGCCTTTTCCGCACATTGGATGTCTTTAATAGACAACTGTTTATAAATACTTGTACCTTCTTGATGGTGGTTGTAGTAGTTCTTCGAGTTTCATCGTAGAATTGTCTTGATGTTCGTATTGAAGATTTTCACTTTGATATTGGTTGACAGCTTTTTTTGAGTTACATATGTCCTTCAACTGTAGAAATGCTGTCCTTGTTTTGTCAATCCTCGCCTTTACGTTAGCACAAGATCCTCCACGTTCACCGATGATGCTACCCAGATACTTTCTACCTCTCCCAGAGTTTCTCCATCAAGTGTGATTGGTTTGGTTTTCCCCGTGTTGAATTTTATGATCTTGCTTTTTCCCTTGTGTGTTGTGGCCTGCTGATACAGAGGCTGCTGTTACACTATTTGTCATCTACGCTTGTTCGTGTGTATAGGATCGAAGGGCCAGGTCATCTGCGAAGTCCAAATCTTCTAATTGATTCCGAGCTGTCCATTGTGTTTCGTGCTTCTCGTCAGATGTGAAGGTCTTCGTAGTCCAGTCAATCACCAGAAGAAGGAAGAGAGTAAGCAGCGTTGTCTGACCCTGGTCCTCACTTAGAATGCGTCTGTCAGCTGTCCTCCATGCATCACTTTGCAGTGTAGTTCGCCGTATGGTGTTGACGATCTGCTTACGTACACCATAGTGTCGAAGGAGGTTCCGTTAGGTTCTACCCACACTATCGAATGCATTCTCATAGTCTAGGAAGTTGATGTATAGTGACCAGTCCCAGCAATGATCCATACTGTCGCAATTAATATACGGATTGGTAGCACAAAAAGTTTTAGAAAACCAAGTATCCGCGTCACTGTGATCGATTTCGAGTTGTCATCAAAGGTCTCTAAACATTGGTTATGATAATCATGTGGACCGAAATCAGATGGTCTGCACCTACTCAACAATCAATTTTCATGGAGTGTTGTCACATCCTGATTTGTCAGCCTCTAGCCTACCCGAACATCGCGCATCTAGTTGGTCAGTGGGTGGGCATATGTAATACATTTCCAAAGTAATGTAAGTTGGCAAAAGTCAACTAAGATCTGTGAGTTCGTCCTATGATATTGTCAGGCACCAGAGTTAGTGAGACCTCCAAGATAAGTAGTGATTAATATACTTAACTACTTCACTCCTTATTCTTAGTTTAGGCGTTGATGCAGAACAGTTCTGAGTCTAAAAATCGCTTGAACTGTTGCTTAAAGTGGTTAGGAGACTACATTTTTTAGTCTTTGCCAAATAGAACCATATCATCTGCATTTTCTAAGTTAACAAGTGAGTCTCCTGGTGGAAGGTCGATTCTTGATAGGTCAGACAGCAAGTGTTATCTCTAGAAGAATATTCAGTAGTGTTTGAGTAGAGAACTTGTACAAGATTGATACGCTTGCAATGAAACACTTACAAAACTTGTCGATCTTCAAAGATAAATGCCGCCCTTATTCCGAGAAATATGATGGTTAGTATGTATGTCCTCCAGAACCTGATGAAGAGAGAATATTTAGTCTGCATATTCATGAGTGGGTCTTAAACCAGCTTGGTTTTCTCAGGTTCGCTCTTCATAAGCACTAGCTATATGTTGGATGATTGTTGAGATTAACATTTTGGACAGTTACCTAAACTGATTCATATGAAGTCATCACAAGAGGGCTCATGGATTGAAATGATCAGAGATCGAGACCAGTCAGGTTTAATGGGCTCAGTTCCCAGACTCTAGTTACGATCTCAGCCAATTTAGCAACTGAGACTGAATCACTCTCCTTGGAAATTTCAGCTGTTACGCTCCTTTGTTTTAGACTAGCTGTGGCACTTTCTACTTCTTAAGAGTCTGGGGCCTATGCTGACATCTGATTTTGGCTGTTTGGTAAAAGTCGGCAACTTATGGGTGGCAATCAATATGTTCTTCAGTGTTCTGTCCACCGTTCCAGTCTCTTGGGTTGCGAGTGAATCATTATCCCATCCTTTTTAGAAATAGTTTCATCAACTTTCAGATTTCAAATGCCGACTACAGTAGATAAATTTACTGCCTTTCACAGTTACACTGTAGTGCGACTCTGGAAATTTCCTTTAATTGTGCTGTGTTCATTGAAATCAAAGATATGCAAATCGGTTATACGTCTAATTTTATTCTTGTATGAGGGATATATGACCAGGATCTTATTCATTTAAGAACCGAGAGTACTGAACTGATAATCATATCCATCAACAATGACGGCGGAAAAGGCTGCAAGAGAAGGAAACATGAGACAATCGTATAATACAACAAAGAAACTCGTTGGAAATTATTGTAAACAAGAACGACCAGTGAAAAGCAAGGAAGGCAAAGTAACCATGAACATTGAAGAACAGTGAAACAAGTGGGTAGAGCACATGGAAGATTTTTTGAATCGATTAGCCCCACTGAACACACTGAACATCGAAGCAGCACCCACGGGCCTCCCAATCAATGTTGATCCATCAACAATTGAAGCGATCAGCATGGCCATCAGTCAGTCAGTAACAACGTAGAACTTCGTACGTACGTACATTAGTTCGAGTTGCCACACCACATGAGCATACAGACAGAATTGTCGATTCAAATCCCATAGTATTAGAGGTAGTAAAAGTATAAGCAGTAATCGGAAAGATTAGGGTTTGAAGATGTTATTCAAGGAGTATAGTCCAGTGAAATAGATTTAGAAATAGAAAAAAGGGACATGAATAATCCAGAAGATTAGAATTTGGAAGAACACAAAGAGTGGATGCACATGCGCCATCGATTGCTATCGTCTCGCGGATCCCAACTAGGTAGTCTACAAATACAAACATGGCTCAGTCCACTTGTCAGTGAATTCATGGGTTTGTGCCACGTTTTGGTCTGACCGCCCCTAGCTTTGTTCTAACCTACTCCTACACCATAAAACATCGCACGTCGGTGGTTGGGTATACGTAACACGTGTCCCAGCCATCTCAACTGATTTGCCATCCTTACCTAGTACATGTTTCCTAACAACTGCATTACTTACTCGTTGGTCACAGGATATACTAGCAATGCTTCGAAGACACCTATGATCGAATACTAGTAATCTACGAATATCCTCTACTCTTACCGGCCATGTTTCACTGCCATAAAGTAGGGCGGAACGAACTGCTGTGCAGTAAACCCGTCTTTTGGTTGGTAGACGGATATCTCGTGTACGCCATAAATGACGCAAGTTGACGAAAGCTAGTCTAGACTTCTGTATCTATGCTGAGATTTCGTCACACACCAGACTACAAGGGCCGATGAGACTTCTAAGACAAGTGAAGCAGTCGACACGCTCAACTACTTAACTCCCTATCCTTAGTTTGGGTGTCGGTGCAACCCAATCCTGAAGCAACATTTTGCATTTCGAGGGGGAGAATCGCATCCAGAACACGCTTGCAATGTTGCCTAGTGTGGTTAGAAGACTGGGAATTTAGTCAGCGTCTTCACCAAATAGAATTATGTCATCGGCATATTTTAAGTCAACAAGTGAATCACCCTACAGAAGTTCAACCCTTGAAAATTTAGATGAGGAAAGTGTCACCTTTAAAAGCATGTCTACGATAAAGTTAAACAAGAATGGAGAGAGTGATACAAGGAGGCACCAAATACATATGCGCCACACAAATCATATGAGATTTGTGTGAGGGCTGTGATACTGCCCGGGTGCCCAAACCGAAGCAGGTGGTTCTCTTAGGGGGCTACAC